ACTCCCGTGGGGACCGGGAGCGTCAGAGATGCACATGTGCCTGTGCTGCAAACATCCAGCCTGTGTGGATCCACATACGGATTTATGTGGGAAATATTCACAGCCAGAGTAGGTAGAACCTGAGCCCAGTTTGGGTCTGGACCCCAGGCCCATTGTGCTTCCCAGACGTTGCCAGCTCCCTTTGTCACGCCCCCATGGTTATTTCAGAGTTTTGACAAACCTGTTTGGTAAATACATGTCAGTCTTTCTTGCAGCACTATTTCCTGCATGATCTGTACCTCATTTATCCTAACACACAGACTGTTTTCAGTGTATATATATCTCCTGCCTCCCATTTATTCCTGCCCGCCTCCAGCTGCCTTTTGTTTCCCTCTTTCCCGGTGAATCCAACGCACAGCCTCTCTCCTTGAAAGGAAAATTAATGAGTTATCACAGCTGCTGCCACTGGAGCAGCTCTGACCATGTGGCACAGGCAGCAGCTCTGCTGTGAGATGCAGAGTCATTCCTGATGGCTTTTGGGAAAGAAACATGGTTTCTCCTTCCCTCTGCAGTCTGCAGCGCTTGGTCTCCCAGGATACTCTGACCTGAAGAGTGGGAGCACCACTCCAGGGAGACTGGGCCTGCTGCAGGGAAAGAGGGAGAGGTTTTCACCAAACCCAAACCCTTTTCCCAGGTCAGCACCTGGCTCTGGAAGTGCCAGGCCTGCCACAAGGAAAAGATGAGCTGCCCTTGGTTCCAGCCTTGGCCATGCTTCTATTCCCACCCAGAAATAGTGTTTCTTTTGCAAAAAACTGAGAGGTTTTTATTATACAGGGATGCTTTTCCCCTCCTTACAACCAGAAAAGGAACCCCTCAGAGAACAGCAGCACAGGCCCAATACCTATGTAATCAAATATTCCTGTTCAGAAAGGACACTCAGTTGGAACACCCCCACAGCCAGTGGCCACTCCATGTCCCACACTGGGGCTTCACCTCTTTTAAAGCCTTTTTAGCCCCTTAAACAGACCCTCAAAACCAAAGCACCCCAAATCCTGTGGGGCAGGAAGCACACACATCAGTGGGCACAGACAGACAGGGTGTCACTGAGGTGAGTGAACACCTGGAAGTCAGGTGACAGCATCACCCATCCTTTCCCATCTAAAGTAAAATCACCAAGTCCCTCACTCTGAGATGAACCCAGAGGATTTGATCCTTCAAAAGAAACAACAACAAGCAAAGGAAACATTTTCTGATTTTTATTGATTCCACATGAAGGAACAATGATGTCCCCAAAGCAGCTGAGTGGGGCACAACCATCCCTCCTCCAGGTGGGGGGCAGCTGGAAACCAAGAGCTTCAGAAAATGACAGTAAAAGGGATAAAATTTATCCTAAATTAGATAAAAATGCAAAGAACTAATAATATTTCAGTTAACATCCATTTTTAAATAGGTCTACACATGAATAAAGGTGTTAATAAGTTAAAAAGCTCTGTGAAATCTGACAATGCAGGGTTTCTAGGAAATAAAATTTCTGTCTGCAGCTTCTGGACTCTTCCAGGGCCAGTGTAACCTCTGTCTGCCTGAACACACAAAAGCAACACTGGAGACAGGACCCTGCTAGATCTTAAAATATGAAATATTGAACATTCTTTGACAGGAACAATTTTAAATAATCTAAAATTTTTTGCTAGAGAGTAAACAGATAACTCTTACTGATGGTATTAGAGAATTAACAGACACAAGCCTTGTCAAAAATAATTTAAGCTCCAAAGGTAGTCTCTGAGAAAGGTTTTATGAAATTCCTTTGAGGATTTTTATAAAATTCCTTGGAGGACTTTTATAAAATGCTTCACAATGTAAATCCCTTACGTAGAATATATATTTTAGTGGTATTTTATTAACATATTGTATAACTATCATATAACTCATTATGTAACTATAAATATTAATAGTAAGCCCTGTAGTGATCACCTGGGGCAGGACCAGGTGATGGTCATGCTGGGTGGTGTAGAGGGCAGGGAGCTCTGCTCATCTCCCACAGCTTGGCAAGACATTCCATGCTTTTCCCAGAAAAACAATTTGCTGGAAAATGCAACCCAAGCTGTATTTTGATCAGTTTATCTGATCTTGTCAAACATGGGCCCAGCAGTGGCTGTGAGGTCAGCAAAGGGCTTGGGCTGCTGCAGCTGGAGGACCTGCTGCTTCTTCAGCACCAGGAAGATGTAAAATGTGGCTGCAGCTTCTTTCCGGCTGTTTCTGCGGCAGAGCTCCCGGAAACTGAAGGAAGACACTCCTGATCTCTTCAGTTGCTGTGTGAGGGAAGTGAGAAATCAATCAGGGCAGCTTCTCCACCAGTGAAACTGGAGACCATGGAGTCCAAACAGAGAGCAGTGCATAGAGGGAATATCTCAGCCTGAATGGCTCAAATGGGATCCCAGCTCCATGGAATCCTGGAAGCACACACTGGTTTGGGTTGGAAGGGACCCTGAAGACCATCTCACTCCCCCACCCTGGATACCTTCAACCAGACAAGGTTGTTCCACGCCCCATCCAACCTGGCCATGAACACTTCCAGAGATGGGGAGCCCACAACCTCCCTGGCTATCTTCCATCTGTGTGTATAGAAGTGACTCCTAACATTTTAATGCCATAAGAGTGTTGGTACTTCTGTGTGTTACTAAAACCTACAATTCCACAGAATTCCATTACACCAGTGAGTGCTTCCATCATGCTTTGTGATTGATAACAATAAATATCCTAGAGCAGTTCTTTGGGCTCAGTTACCTCTTGTATTTTAAAGGCTGTACCTAGGTGTAAATATTTATTTGCTATTTGCACAGACTTTTGAAATACTTTCAAAAAAAAGAGCATTCAGAAAATTCTAGTAATTCCAGCAGCTGTGGAAAGGAACATCACACACTGAGCACACAGAATCCTGATTTTCCACAGAAATACCAAAAAAAAGCACCTGCTGCAAGTGAGAAGGGGAGACACAATGGACAGTAGAAGGAAGAGCTTTTCTAACATGGTTCAGCTGAAATCAACACCAGCTTTTGGTATCTAATAACAAAATCCAGCACTGGTACCTGTAAGGTTTTTTGTAACCAAAGAGATCTTTTGCCCCATCTTATTTCTTCATTGTCTTTTCCAGTGGTTGCTTGCTCCTTGAGAGGAAGTAAACAGAAAGTTAGTCAGGGTTTGTAAAAAATCACACACCACAAGAAAAAGGACAGGAGTTCCAGGCTGGCTGAAAATCCAGATGGAGCTGGATGGCCCCAAACTCAGGGAATCTGGAACCTCTGGCACCTCTGTGCTCACACAAGGCTGTGTGAAACAAGAATGGGACCTGTGTGCTTTGTGCTCAGAGACAGCTCAGGTGCAACATGGACATGGTCCCAGTGAGGCAGCTCCACAGCCAGGTACTGCTCTGTGGCACTGGGATTCTGATAGAATTTGCACTGGCCAGGACCTTAAAGAGATATTCAAATATTTGACTTGGGATTTTGGGTTTAACCTCTGAAGCCTGCAGCTGACTGCCCTGATTTCAGAGTACCTGAACATCCTCAGAACCAGCAGGGTTGAATTGAAATTATTTCCTTCTCACAGGAAGAAAACTCCCTGGAAATTGACAATGCTATTTTTTTGTTTTAAGAAACAGGGTTCTCTCCTGAAACAAGCCAGGGCCATCAGCTTAGGACACACACCTCTGGCACCTCCACCTGCTGTGCTTCAACTTCCTGGCCCGGGGAATTTTTGGAGCTCTCAGAGAAAGCTGCTCCATCCTCCTGTGAACATGAAAAAGACAATCACTATGCCTGGCCACTTATGCACACCGTGCAATTCTCTTTACACAGTTCTTCTCAAAGAATTTATTGTAATGAAGTTTTTCAAAATAACTTAATAGCTGCTATTTCTACCATGTCTTTCCTGATACAGGGAAGGACCTTGTGTAGGATTTATCTACAGATGAATCTAAACCTATGGGCAGAGGTCAGGCATGGAGCACACATTTTCTGCTGCCATTAGCTCCAATTTCATCACTTTTCAACATTAATGAGCCTCATATTCTCTAAAGAATGCCCTTTAGCAGAAGTGAAGATGAAGGATATATTGCTTAAGTATTTCCTCGATATGACACACAAAATGTAAGTTTTATCCTTTATAAAGATTATATTTGTCTCTTCAGTACAATATTTCATATTTAATATTAAGCTCTCATGTATACTTAGTGATTAAACTGTAATCTATGCTGATTAATAAACATTTTAATTAATCATTCATTCATTGTGGGAGTTTACCAAATTATAAATAAACTTTCATCACACAAGCTACTTAATGCTCTCTTGACTGTTTTTAGCATCCTTTCCAAACGTTAGTAACTTCTTAACATATTTTAAATGGAACCTTAGCAAAAAGTGTAACCCATAGGCACACTTAGGTCTCTAAAACTGAGGAAAACTGCTCACTATAATTTCACCACAGTTCTCATTGGCTTCATTTCTGTCATTCTGTGATGTCAACATAAAGGAATCATTTCTAATTTTCCTCTCAGTCTCAGAATGAGCTGGCTCCTGCAGGTAACTTGGCTCTTCTACTGGCAGCATCTCTGTATTAACAGAAAACCAAGGTTGAAGAGGAAATTACTGTGAATCACCATCCTTAGAAAAACCCTCTGAAAATCAAAAATCACACACAAGTTCACAGTCTTTGAGAGGAAGAGTCAGAATAATTGAAGAAGCATCATTCCCAACAGAATCATGGAAGAACATTCTAAGGCAGGTTTTCCTTTTCTGAAAGTTGACCTTTATGGACTCACAGGAGGTGGGTTTGTTAATTAATTTTTGAGACAGGTTAGGTTCCCAGCAGAGCAAAGGAATGAAAGTGGATACATCCTTCTCAGAAGATCTAAAATGGAACATTTCTTCTTGCCTGATATTAACCAAACACATCTTCCAGATAAGTAGAACTTTTTACATTAATTTGGAATTTTGGAGAGAAGTTTGGTTAAGCTTAGGATAAGTGGGAAGCTAATTTTTTAAATTTTATTAAAAAAAACCCACAAGCAACATTACCCAAATCTGCAGTTTCAGAGATAATTAGAGAAACCAAAGATAAAACCAAAAATATCTTCTTATGCCACAAGGAAGAAAAATTTGCATTTCATTTAATTTCTAAGAAACAAAAGAACAGCTAAGTAGTAATTTGGGTAATACTGCACAACAACACCTCTTGTGTCTCTCAAACATTATGTAGAATAGAAAATACTCTCTACCACCTAATTCTGCACAACAGAATTAAAATATTACCTGTAGTATCTTGCTCTTTTCTCATTTCTTTCATTTCAGACATCCTCCGTATTCCATTTGCTCTCATCTTAAATATGTCAGTCTTGAAGCATTTTTCAAACAACTGAAAATAATTATTTTTTGTTTGCTTTCAGAATATCACGTCAGATTATTTACAAACATCAACACAAAATATGAATATGAGCTGTATGTTAATGACTGCAACCCAGAATTTCAGTATTTGAATTAGGTCACTCTGAAAATCTGCAATTTTTTGTTTGTTTTTAAGCAACAGCTTTCTGCAGCTCTGACATGAATTCCATGAAAAAAAAACCATCTTAGGAGCAGCTTGAATCATTTTTTTTAAGCCAGACAGTAGGGAAGGATGAAAGAAAGAAACATCTGCAGTTTTCATCTTCTTAAAGAGCAAGTTGTAATTCTGCAGCTGGACTCTAAGTGGTGAAGCTGCACTGCTGCAGTGAACCCTTCCAAATCCATCAGCAATATTCTACTACTAATGTCTGATGTACCTTTAAATAAATATAAACAAAAGACATCTCAAATTGATTATGAAGAGGAAATATACTAGAAAACAATACAAGAAATGAGGAAGTATAAAAGAAATGGACAGAAAAGTAAAAAGCTGTGTCTCAGTGCAAGTTTAGTCAGGTGCCAGTGTGTGAAATGAAACATCAGCTCTTGTTTTCCTTTAGTAATTTTTCTCTTGTTGGAGTGCAGAAGGTTAAGGCTGTGACCCCACAGATGATGAAACAATTAGTGGTGAGGGTGCAAACCATCAGGTGTCTGCTGACCTGAACTGCACAGCAATGCTCAGGGCACACCTGCAGCCAGCTCCAGCTTCAGATCAGAGTCTGCAAAACCTCTCTCACTCAGATCCCAGCTCTGCAACAATCCTGGATCCTACACAGTGGCACAAACCCCACAAGGAACTGATGTTTACCTTTTGCAGCTGAGCATCAATCATAGGCACTGAAGAATGGGACAGGAGTTTATCCACACCTCCCCAGTCCTTCCACATCATCGTTTTCTTGGTGGGGGGAGCGAGGTCCAGCGTGGCCAGGAGGTCAGAGGAGTTGGAGAGCTGCTTGTAAATGGTTTGGCAGCTGAGCTCCTTCTCTGCATCCACCAGCAGCTTCCTCTTTCTTTGTTTTTTCTTCCTCGGGGTGACAGCTACATAAAGCAAGTATTAATAACAACTCTTAAGGTCTATTCCTAGGACATTAAACACACAAAAAAAGCCCAGTGAATCAACCTGGCTGCCAACCTTCTGAACACTGCCTGGACTTGGAAATCAAAGCACAAGTGCACAGGCCAGTCCTTCAAAACTCATAGACACCAGTCTATGGAGTTTTCACTCTTTGTATTCTTTTATTGAAATTCCCTTATGTTTAATTGTGGAAGACAAATGACTCTTTTAATAAAGAGCTGGGTACAGGACAACAAAATGAAAACACATGATAGAGCAACAACACTGAATAAGCTTTAATCCATCAGGAAGTTAAGTGCTCCAGGAACTGCTGATGCACTCAAGAGGTTTCATTACCTCATAATTAATATCTGTATTTGTCAGTCTAATCCTTTAGCAATTTAATCAAGATGTAAACACAAAAGAAAGGCACAGATTACTTATATAGTCATAACTGCCTGGATATTATTTGGGCAGGCCAGAAAATTCCAATATTGTAAATATTGCTGTCAACATGAGCTTGCTTATTCATAAACAGCCACCAATGTGATAGGGGACATTTAGATTTCCTCTGCAGAGGAAATGTAATGCTTTTCACCTTGGATCTTGTTAAAAGTTCACACACCAATTTTTTCCAAAGGCTTGTAAGTTTCGGGATTGTGATTTTAAATATAAAGGTCACTGATGTGTGACTGGCAATTAAAATTTTTCAGGTGAATCTTCAGTACCACCCCCAAGGCCAAGCTTGCAATGCTACCAGAGCTGAAGAGCAACAAAACTTGACTTGTACATGGAAAAAACTGCAAGTAGAAATTTGGGAAGCTAGGATAAATAACCTGACACTGGGTTTGTATAATATTTACTGTAAAAAGGAACTCTGACTGCAGGAGCAGATGAAATCTAAGGTGGGAATAATCTTTATTGCAAATATTTTCACTACTAAAAAGCAAACCAAAACTAGTTAATGCAAACATTTATCAGAAACGAATCAACTTCTGACCTGTATCATCAACTGGCTCAAGCACAAATCCTTCTTCCTGGAACAAAAGGATTGTCTCGTTCATTGTGTGATTTTCATCCTTAACAGTGGTGTCTGCACAGTTGGACTCAACTGCAAGAAAACCCAGCAGATAACCCAAATTAATAACAAAGGAAAATTGCAATATGGACTAATTTCTCAATCACACGACAGAGAATGCTACCAGACAAAACCAGCAAGAAATAGGAAACTGTGGTTTTGTTAATAATCTCCCTTATGTTCACCAGTTCCTTCTCATACCCTCAATGCTCTACACTTCCCTTCACTGATCCCAGAATGACCAGGCCATAGCAGAGACAGATCTGGAGAAAAATTCACACAACAGAAAGTGTTCAGGGGCAAATGTGTTCAGTTTCAATCCCTATCTGTTTCCAGTTGCAGGCAAGTGCATGGCAATGGGGACATCTCTGTCAACAGAAAATAACAAGCAGCACCAGCAATAGAGCAAGGAGAGGCAAGAGCCACTCTATCCCTTTAAAGCTGTTCCAGAATTCTCTGTTTTAAACTAACACACTGATGGGGGAGTAAGGATTTAAGATAGCAAAAATTTCTCAGAAATAGTTATCAAAGCTTAATTTCTTTCATCAACATCAAACCAAAAGAAGATTAACAGCACATTTATGAGCTACTTAAGTGTCAGTTGTTGCAGAAATATGAAGCTAGAAATAGAAGCACTGAATTGTTTCTGTTGGAAAAGACCTTTTAAGCTCTCACTAGGAAAGTTCACTGTTACAGGACAGCCTTATTTGGGCTTCTTTCCCCCTCAAAAGGGACATCATGCTGTGAGCAGCAGGGTGGACCAACAGCATATCCAACAGGATGTCACATGAAGGTGTTTCTAAGCAATGTGAAGTTACAAATTTGGAATCTCTAAATCAAATAAAATGATCCTAAAATGGTGGATGAAGCAGTTTAGGAGAAAAAAAAAAGGCAAAATAAATGAAGAAAGGAAAAAGGCACAAGGATACAAAAAGCTGAATGTGAGTGACATTAGGCATTAACAGAGGAACAGAGGGTTTATGTGAGATGGAGCAGACACTGCAAACTCACTGGCTGTGCTGTTCTCTGGCAGATCTTGTGACAAAGGACGTGCTTCCTCCTCATCAAGAATGTCTTTATCTAGGACATTTTGCTCATCCCTCAACAAGATTTCTTAAATACAAAGCACATAGTTTTAATCATTCTAAGCCTTAGTAGTCATGAAACAGTCTGATACAGCCTAATGTTAGTCAAGGTTAATACTCTGCAAAGAAAGCAAGCTCAGCTTCTGCAGATGGCTGGCAGTGGTGTGGCTGTCTGCAGCAGCACACAAAGGAGGGGATTAGTCCCAAGTTTGAGATTTCCACCCTTTTTTTTTTTTTTAATATGGCCTTAATAGTGTTAACAGGTATCAATCTGTAAGGTTTACATAAATGCTCTAAGCCATAATGATCCAGAAACTACTTTGCTGCCTTTGTTATTACAACAGTAAGGATAAAAAGTGCTGCACTATTTCACCTTTATAAACAGAAATTAATTGTTAAACATTAAGCATAAATTTAATGCCTTTAAAATAATGAAATACAGCCTTTAAACCAATTTGACTTGGCAGTGTCTAAGTGATCACAGACTTAGTGACAAGTAGGAAAAATATATGTATGAAAACAACAACTAACACAGAATTTATGTTTGACAACAATCGCTTTGCTGCTCTCTTGACTGTTTTCCTGTAAGAATGAAAATATTTGGAAAGGAACCAACTCTCTTTGCCTGTGGCAAACCCTACCAATCATATCTGCAGCATCCTCCTCATCCCCAAAATGGTCATCCTGGAAGCAGTAAACATCTTCATGCAGCACAGATTTGTCTCCACTGGTGCTGGCTGAGTTGGGATCTGCCACCAGACTGTTACTGCTCGTCAGGACACTGCTCTCAAAGAAGCTCTGTCTCCTCAGGGCTTCTGCTTCTTCATCTGAGGGAACACACAATTCCTGATTCCTCATCTCTGTGAGTTTTGTAAACTCAGATGTATTAATTTCCTAATTTTCCAAGTATTTTTTAAAAGGTTGCAAGACACCCCATACCTCAAATGGAATAAAGAATAAACAATTTTATCTAATTTATTAAAAGCAGGAAATGTTTGGTTTGGTTCTCAGTCTCTGACACCAGATTATATTGCTTACACAAAATTTTAAACCTAAGACAGCATGATAGGCCAATCAGCAAAAGCATGAAACAAATGGACCTTTAATCACAGCTTTTTCACACATGGAAAGGGCTCACATAAAAGTTTCACATAAAACACATTTCCCCTTATGAAATTCTTCTACTCTCAACTACTCTCACCAAAGTTTCTTTCACAGAGAAGTATGCTGCTTTCATAATCCTCTGTAAGTGTGATTTCTTCAGCTCTGCTCTGATTCAAGGTAAAATGTTCAGCAACATCAATGGCCCTGATGAAAAAAACGTTACAAAAATAGAGAGTGAACTGAAACTCATTGAGCATTCAGCTGGAATGTGAAAACTTGGTTCTACACAGCCTTCAATCCTGGCATTTTATCACAATTTTATCCCCATATTTCTCCACTCCCTTTTGCCACTAAACTTGGGCTTTTGTGATTTTGTTCCCATCCAAGCCCTGGTACCTACCAGACCCTTGTCAGAAGGCAACTAATTAGTGAACATCTTTTAAATCAAATTACACAACTCTTTGGGCAGGGAGAAAAGGCACCTTTACAGAGTCAACACACTGAGGCACTTGAATAAAGTGTATTATATTGCAGCTGTACTTACAAAATAATAAACCCTTACTGATCCCATCAAACCATATTTATGAGGAGGCACAGAGCAACCCTCAGTGGAAATCTCCTGTCCTGGACCTTTGGAGCACTAGAGCCATCAGAAACATGACTTAGCCTCCTGGTTTTTATCAGTTTTCTACATTAGTGCTGCTTTGTGTCAAAAAAGCCTAAGAAATGTGCTGGCTTTTTCTCAGGAGCCAGGCTGACTATTGCTGATAAAACACCCCAGCCCCAGAGAGCAGTGGAGCAGAAACAAAATGAAGCTACCCAGTGGAACAGTGCAACACTGTGTGGTTACTGGCCACATCTTTCAGGATTAATACTCATTTTTATCTCTTCTCTTGGGATTCAGAAAGCTGTTTGCATCCTTCACTCAGACAATTTAAAATCCTGAAGTCTAAGTTCAAGACATTATTCCATTGTGAAGGTCTGTTGATTAAAGGACTGAGGAGAACTACCAAAGCACAATGCCTGTGGCTGCAGAGCTCAGAATTTAGGAGAATTCACTTATTAAATCAAAACAAACCAATCTGAGTCTCAATCAGATAACAGCAAGTGTATAGCTTTTACTTCTGAAAATTCTAAAAGAAGGAATAAAAACTAGGGAGGAATTTACTTTACATCTGGTAGTGGTGCTTCAAAATCATGAAATTCTTCAGGTAATGTAATGGACTGATAAGCAGCCTCAAAGTTCTCTTCTGGAAGGTCAAGAAGCCCTGAAATAAACAGACAGCATAACAAAATAAGTACCAATAAAATAAAAGTAGTGCTGTCTCCCAAGTAGGTATAATAAGCCCATAAACCTGTCAGGAGGGACTGCTGCCATTCTAAATCACAGAATGGCAAAGCTTAGGCACCCAAAAGTGAAATTTCAGTTTCCATGTCCTTAAGATGATCTATTTTTTACAGACATACAAAAGAGTTTGCTGCAACAGGACCTGAAATATGTAAGCACTTGTGTTGGTGAGCAGCTACTTTAAGTCCCTGGAAGGTTCTCCCAGCTGATGTCTAGCCCAGAGTCTTTCACAGCACTGCAAATGAACCACTGTGTTTTCCTTTCCTCTGCTCTGTCTCCATAACACTGTTCTCCAGCAGCAAATAATTATGTACTCAGACTCCCAATTACTTGGGAATCAGAGAATCCTGGGAAAATTCACGAGAGGAGGTATTTCTCAAGGTCATCCAATCCAGCCTTTTGCTCAGAACAGGGTTAATTTCAAAGTCAGATCACTTTTGTCTATTTCTGTTGATGCAGATTTCACAGCATCCCTGAACAGCCCTTTTCAGCATTTTACCACTTCTGCTGAGATTCTTCAACCCCCCTTTTATCTAGGTAAATAAAGCCTCTGTTGCAGCAGTGGTGTCTGTTGTGTGCTCCTGAGCTGTGTGGTGCCCTCCAAGTTGCTCTAGGATCAATCTCCAAAATAGCCACCAGTTGTGGCTGGCAGATTTCTGTTGCATATTAAGGGAAAATTTCTTCATTAAAAGGGTTTTCAAGCCCTGGCACAGGCTGCCCAAGGTAATGCTGGAGTCACCATCCCTGGAGGGATTTGAAAGACATGTGATATTTGGGGACATGGCTTAGTGGTGGCCTTGGCAGTGCTGAGTGAACAGTTGGACTGGATTTAGGAGGGCTTTTCCAGCCTAAATGGTTCTGTGATTCTATAATTCTGTGATCATATCCTTGAGAATAATGCAGAGTAATTATTGACTATTTTGCAAACAGACCAGGTCACAAAGCACATTAAAACTGGCAGTAGACACTGCTGTTCTCAGGCTTTTTTTTAAACAACAGTGCCTCCCATTTATTGCCTAAGTATGACAAATACAGAGCCTGTTGGAAAAGGCTCCAGTCATCTCAGCTCCCTTCTCCCTGTCTACATGGCTAGAGCTCAAAACACACTGTCAGGTCTGGCACTGACACTGTTAGACATGTTGTTGGTGTCATCAGAAATTAAAATTAATTATTCAGCAATGGAGGCTGAATTCTAGCATCTTCTTGTAAGCCCACTTAAGATACTGCTTCTGTTAAGGTAGTCAAAGATCTGAAATGGCACTAAATTAAGCCAGGCCAGCAGTAGGTGATAGTATGGTCAGTTTCTTTTGGGGTCAGTAATGTGTATTTAACAGAAATAGCCAAAAATTAACTTTTAAAATGAGAGGACACAGATGAAAAAATGCTGAATTTTGTGTATACCTGGACGAAAGGCTGTCTTCATTTTGGTCAGAGCTTCATTGCAGTCTGCCAAGAGGTACTTTACTTTCCTGTTGTAAATCCGCACCACCCCCAGGAGTAAGTGTCCAGAGGTTCGCAGAGCTATAGCAAACTGTGAGGATTGAAATTTAAAAAAAAAATTGTTTAGGAGTTAGTATTTTTGGCAAAAACATTAAAACATTACACAGAAATAACAGAGTTCTCTACAAGAGACCAACACCTCCATCCCAAGACTCAGCAGGAGATCCCTCCTCATGCTACAGCCTACCTTTGGGGAGAGGATTTTTTGGACGGTGGCCTCTAAATTGCACTCAAAGATGTGTGCCTTGGTCAGCTTCTTCTCCCAGTGGGCAGCCAGCCAGATTTTGGCCAGTGGTCCCCGCTTGTTGATGAGCAAATGGACGTAGAACATGGTGCCTGGCAAAAGGTCTCAGGGCAGCCCTGACAAAATTCCCTGAGCTCTTCCCCTTGCAACAGGAGATGGGTCCTGGGGCCCCAAGTGGAATTAGGGATTTAATGGAATCTGAGGGGATGGAGGACTCAGTCGGCTGCTGTGGGGAAGCAGGAATTTAGTGGGATATGAGGGGATGAGGGGGACAAACCAGGCACTGAAGGGGATGAGAGGATTTATGGGATCACAGGGGACAGGGCACCCAGGCAGATATTGGGGGGATGTGAGGATTTAGTGGGATCCAGAAAGGCTGGGATCACCCAGCTGGGCGCTGAGGGGATGGGAGAACCCTGAGAGCACTGAGGGAATGAAAGGATTTAGCAGAACCCTCAGAGGGCAGGCAGGGGGGATTTGGCGGGAGATCCTTAAAGGATGGGTCAGGGTGGATTTAGTGGTGCCTGAGGGGACAGGGGGAGCCAGCCAGGCCCCGAGGATTTAGCAGGACCTGAGGGGATGGGGTGACCAAGACGCTGAGGGGACAGGGGGCCTGAGCAATGCCAGGAGGGACGCGTTGCACTTAGCGGGATCCTGAGTGACGGAGGGGCAGAGCCGGCCGCTGAGGGGCCCTGCGGGGATGAGGAGCCCCGGGGACCGAGGGGGATCCGGCGGCGCTGAGGGGGCTCGGCGGGGCGGGCGGACCCTCCTCAGGCCTCAGCCGCGGCTCGGCCGAGGGCGGGAAGGCACCGGGGGAGAGTCCCACAGCGGGCCCGCCCTCAGAGCCCCCCAGGGCCCGTGTCCACTGCCATGGAGCCCTCGGCAGGGACCTGCCGCCGCCAATGGCCTCCTCCTTCCTGGGGCTCAGCAGCAGGAGCCTCGCGTGCTCGGGAACACATTGTCGCATCCACCTCTCCCTCTCCTCTCCTTGTCTTCCCCTCCCCTTCTCCTCCCAATCCCGTTCACCCTTGACGTTCCAAGAGCCCGTTTGCAGACACCGCCCCATCTCTTTCTCTGCAGGTGAGCAGCTCCTGCGTGGCTCCACACACGTCTGATAAAACTCCCCTGGTGAAGGAAATTTGCAGAAGAAAACAAAACAAAAAACAAAAACAAAAACAAACACAAACAAAAAACCCCAGAGCCTCGGGTCAGACCTCTGTACAGAGGGGGAAAGGCAAAAGGTGCACAGCCATCCATCTGTGTCAGCTCCAGCCACCCCTGAGAGAAGACAGTGTATTTGCACACTTAGATGTCACCAGCCAGGGAAAAAATAGTTTTTCACCCTCTGCTTCGTGCTTTCCATGCTTTATATTCAGACAGAACAAGCGAAGCTCCCGTTGCTCCCAGGCACAGCCCGGAGCATCAGCTGTTGCCATATCACAAGGCACCTGAGGTTTTCCCTGTCTCCCTGGTGTTAGCTGAAGATAACGAGATCTTAATTATCACCAGGAAAGTGCTGAGCCTCATCCCAGTGCAGCTCTGCATCTGGCCATAGTGGTAAGCAGGGCTCCATCCCTCCAGCTGCCTTTGGGCTGGGGCTCAGATGTTTGGGGAAGGAGAGCGATTTTTTGCTATAAATCATCCTTGGAGTGGTGTATCCCCACAGGGACTTGGAGGAACCTCCCACGAGCCCAGGGGCAGGTATCCACTACCCATCCAGGGCACCAAACCTGTCTGAGAACTCCATGCCCTGCAAGAGGGGAACCACCCTCACTGTTGCCCATTGTGCAGCTCCAGCCCTCCCCAGCACCAAGGCTCAAGTCCAGCCCTACCTGCCTTGCTGGTGGCAGCATCTCGCAGGAGCAGATTGCTGAATCAGAAACCCCCTCATCCATGGGGAGCACTGGGATGCTGTGTCTGGGGTACACAGGAACTGGCAGTGTCAAGGCAGGGAGGCTGTGATGTGCTGGGGATCTCTGGTCCTCCCAAATTGCTGGATCTCTCAGTGATGTAGAGCCAGCTCCTGAATTGCCTGGCTGCTTTTCCCCTGACCTCCGAGTCACCTTGAGCCGTGCTGGCTGCGAGTCCTCGCTCTGCCATGGGATGCTGTGAATGCTAAGGAGGCAGGAATTAAACTTCACCTCGGTGGTGAGGCTGGATAGGGGTCAGCACTGCCAGTGGGCACCAGACAGCTGTGCACTCCCCAAAATTTGGCTGTGCTGCACTGGGCTGTATTAGGGAACAGAGCCAGGTCCTGTCTAGCTCCATCACATTCCTGCTCCTGCTGTCCTCTTCTGCCTGCCTGAGGCTTCCATTTGCTGTCCCTCTCATCCATGTTCAATCATTTTGTCTGAGGAGTTACATGTTCCCATCCTTGGTTCCCCGTCTGGCTCCTTCACCCTGTTCTATCTCCCAGACTCCTCCCCCCCTCCTCTTTCCTTTTCTTTCCAAGTCGTCTGTCTCTCCCCTCCAGCACTCCTGCAGTTTCATTGTGAATTTTGGCAGTGCTCCCTCTGACCTTGGCTGTCTCTCTCCTCTCTTTGCTCCTGCACTGGCAGCATAGATCTTGGCTGTCTCAGCCTCTCCTCCCCGTCTCTTAGTGCCAGCACCTTGGGGATGGCGTGGCCTTTGCCAGTCTCCATCCTCAAGATCAGGAAGGATTTTGGGCTACCCTGAGGACCCTTCAAAGGCCTGGGGTCCCCTCCAGCTCCCATCCAGCAATGGCACTGGGATCCTGGGGCAGCACAGTGCAAGCAGCGATGCCAGCAGGATGCATCCCTCCACCTCATCCCTCACAGGTGGCCTCTCGAGCACTGCTGCGGGATTGGGGTGCAGGAGCAGCTCCTGGGCAGCATGGAGCCCTGACCCCATGGCAGGCTCAGCCCTGTCCCTGTAGGAAGGCAGGTGGGAGCCACAGCAGGAGTGTCTCTGTTTCTGCCTCACAAATCCCCATCCTGGCCAGGCTCCTGGCCTTGGCATCCCTGGGTGCACAGGCAGCCTTGGGGCTTGGGTGCTCCAGGACAGAGGGCTTGACCACAGCTCTGCTCAGGAGCAAACTGGTGGCAGTTCTGTGTTCCCAGGGAATTTGGTGATGGTGAGGCAGCAGATCTGCTCCTGCCCATCTGTTCACTGAGATATGCCTGCCTGCTCCAAATCCATCTTTTCCTGCTGATTTGGGACAATCTGTGTCCCATGACCTACTTGTCTCCAAGCATCTCTTGCCTTCCTGCGGAGTGGGTTGGTACTAAAGACTCTCTAAATGTAGTTAACGTGTCAGGATGCACTTACATTTATTTTTAATTCTGCTTCTTTCTCGGCCCACTTCTGGCTACATCTCTGGGGACACTGTGCTGGGAAGCCTCTGTGTTCCACAGAGTCACAAAGTCACGGAATGGTTTGGGTTGGAAGACACCTTAGAGATCATCTCATTCCAAGCCCCCTGCCATGAGAGCTCCATGCCCTTGCTGCAGCTCAGAGACTGAGAAGGTGCCATGTGTTGGTTTAGGGTGTTCCAGTCAGCCTCATGGATAGACACTGTGCCTGGATAGGTGCTGTGCCTGGATCGTGTTGCACCTGTCCAGCCCTCAGAAAACACCTCTTTATTTGTGTGGCATGCTCTAAAACTCTCTGACCTTTTTTTTATCTATTTTAGCTGTACCTGACAGAGACTTCAGAGAAAATTCCTGCCCTGTCATGACACAGGTGGCAAGAAACTCCCATCTGGTAGCTCCACACAGAGAAGTGCCCAGACACTATGGATAACACAGAGAGCCCAGTATAGCTGCAGAGGAACACACTGTGTGCAGGGACAGGGTTCAGGATACAATGGGGACAGGGTGCAGGCACAAACATCATCCCTGCAGCCCCAGTACTGAGCTCACCCAGCACCTGCAGCACTGGGTGTGCTTTTGGAGATGCTGGAAACATGTGAAGGTGTTGAAGGGACTGGCAAAGTAATGGACAGACCTTCCCAGCAGCTGTCAGCAGCCCACCCGCTATTGCTGGGATTTATATCCACATCTCCAGGCACTGCTCCAAATGTGGAAATAGACCACGTCGTACTAACAAACGAGGGAAAGTGTGTGGCTGCCAGCAGGTCGCTGCTGGGGCACGTGCCTGGCTCTGGTGCCAGGTCAGGGAGAAGAAGAGTGCAGGCACTGACATGAATACTCTGGGGAAAATGGAATAAATAACGTGTGTGTGTGTGTGTGTGTGTGTGTGTGTGTGTGTGTGTGTGTGTGTGTGTGAAAGGGGGAGGCATTAAGCCCAGTGGGAGCTGGGGTATATCATACCTGACCCAAACCCAGGTCAACCCCCACTTTCCCTGAGAATTTGGGGACAGTCAGGGCAACGTCCATATGGGACCTCTCCCTGCTGTCTTTGGGGCTGGGGATGCTCATGGTGCAAACCCAGTGTCGCCAGCCCAGCTCCACCTCATGTCCCACAGGGGACTGCTAGTTGTGGAGGACACGTCCTCCAGGCAGACCGCACACAAAACCCACCGTGCTGCTCTGTGCTCTCCAGAGCCCCTCCCCACGCAGCCCCCAGGGTGCCCACGGAGGGTCCCGGCGCTGCCGAAGGGGTGCACAGAGGGGTCCCTGTCGCACGGCAGGTGCCGGTGTGCACCCGGGCGTGTGCATGCGAGTGCATGTGTGTGCCCCCCGTACGTGTGTGTGTGTGCGTGTGCGTGCGGCGGCCGTGCGCGACCGCGGCTCGGGGCACCCACCGCCCGCCCCGCGGCGGCACCGGCACCTGCCCGGGGAGCCGGGGAGGCGGCGGGGGTAGGCAGCCCGACGCGGGGGAACGGGAGGGGAAGCGGGGCAGCTCGGTGCGGGCATCGGCGGGGAGGGCAGACCGAGCGGAGAAGCGGGAGCGGAGCCCGGTGCGCGGAGCGGGGCCACAGCCCGGTGCGGGAGCGGGGAACGGGAGGGCAGACCCCGGCGGGAGAAGAGGGTTCGGTGAGGGGCAATTTAGCGGAGTCACAGGGACACAGGTCCCCACAGAGGGTTTCAGACGGATTCGGGAAGGTGGGTCGCGCGGTGGGAGCCTGGTTTGGGAAGGGGGAGAGCCAGGTGGGACGACCCGGTCCGGAGAGGCAGGTGAGGGTTCAGGGAAGGGGAGCACCCCGGTCTGGGGTTCCGCGGAAAGGGGACAGTCCGGGCGGGGTCGCCGCTCCGAAGGTTGCCCGGTTCGGCTGAGCGGGATCCCAGGAGGAGGAGCAGCCCGGCTCGGAGACCTGCGGGGTGGGGCTGGTAGCCCGGCCAGGGAAAGATACTCCGGGGAGGGGAAGCATCCCGCCCTCGGGGTTCGGCTCTGCTTTGGGGAAGCATCCCGGTTCGGGGACCCGCCTCCGACCCAGCGGAGCATCCCGTCCCGCTTCCACCGCTCACCTTCGGCCGCGCAGGCCGGCGGCGGTTCCATGGCGTCCCCGCGGGCGGCGGAGCTGCGGAGCCCGGACGAGGCGGCGGCGGGTGCGGGGGCCGGTGCGGGCGCGGGGGGGGCCGGTGCCGGCGGGCCCGGGGCTGGCTCTGGCGCTGGGCTGCGCTCTGGGCGGCGCGGCGCTGGTTGTGCTGGCGGGGGCCGTTCCGCGGGCGGCGCGGCCCGACCCCGCCGTGCCGGCGCGGCAGATGGAGCGGCTGGAGGCTCGGGCAGCCCGGCTCCGCGCCCGCCTCGACCGCTGCACCGTGGCCGGGCTGGCGCTGCTGGCCCTGGGCGGGCTCCTGCTCGCCGCCCTGCTGCTGGCCGCCGCTGCCGCCCGCCGCCGCGCCCGGGCCGCCCGCCGCACCGGGGGCACATATGGCTCGGTACGGCTGCGGCTGCGGAGGCTGTCAGCTGAGGGGACGCGGGCGCTGCTCGAGAGCCAGCTGAGCCCCCCAGCCCAGCCCCCCGAGGGGCCCGGCTCCTAGCTGTGCGCACCCCAGGGACCCCTCGCCACTGGCAGAAACGGGGTCCCCCTGCTGCACTCCAACACCGATACCATTGGGGGAAACTTTGCCTACACCAGCCTTCAGCCAGCATTCTCACCTCCTTGAACCCTTCCTGAACGGTGCTCTGGCCCAACAGCACCGGACTGATGAGGCTTTGGGGTACTCCACCAGACTGCATGGCCCGGGTTGTTCCCTGCCACCAGCACTGGGACAGCATGGCCTTGGGACCTCCTGTCGCCTCCCCAGCACCTTCCTGGATGGGATCCTGCCACCAGCATCATGGCAGTTGGCACAGCCAAGGCAGCCATGGGATTTCTGTGCCATGGTCGGTTGCAGCCTGGGCTGGATGTGAGGCTGAGCTCCTTCCCACAGCCAGGACCTGACTGCTCTTCCCAACAGACCTGTTTCTGCCATCAGTGACCATTTTTAGCAATAGTTTCCTGTAAAACTCTGGCACAGCGCTGGTGCTTGCACTGCTTTGGGCAGAAGAGGAGGCAGCAAGCATACCCACCACCTGTGGGGTGGGGTCCAGCCCCCTGCCACCCCCCAGCCCTCACAGCCCACCAGCTCCATTCCGCACAGCAGGATGAAGGCCAGGACACGCCTGCACCGTGCCAAGCATCCCACTACCACCAGCAGCCCTGGAATGGCCTCTTCCAAACCCATGGTGCTCTGTACAGAGGAGAGTGGATGATTCTCAGTGCCTCGTGGTGGCTGTGTCCCACACTGGCCTGGCAGTGCTGCTGCTGGGGTGTCCCCAGGCTGGCCTTTCTGCTGATTCAAGGCCATTGTCTGTGGTGTGAAGGCAAAATTGCATCTCGGGAATTAAACATGAAGCGTCATTAAAGCACAATGTTCTGTGGAAAGAGAAATGGGTATGAGCAGTGTGCTGGGAAAGGGAAATAATTATCCCATTGGAAAATGCAGACCCACAAAAGGTGCTGTTTATCATGAACTGCCACCAGTTTTCAATCCATCCCATAAGCTACTCACTTCAGACATTCTCAGGCAGGGACAAGTCCCTCCAGACAGCCTGACACAAAGAAAAGGGATTTTTACATCACCAGCCACGCTCTGTACTTATTGTAGGATCCCAAGGAACAACTCTGAATCACCTCACACCTGCAATCCTGGCACCCAGGCGCCTTTCCTTGGGATGAAACCACACTTGGAGTGAAATGGGTGGCTGTGCCCCACTGTCCCCAGACAAACACTACCTGTCCCCAACAGCCCTGGGACAAATGGCTTTAATTTGAGGGGCCAAATGAAGGGTCCAGGGAGAATACGGAAGGGTAAATGTCATTGTGGCTGTCACTGAGGAGCTCTAGGGTGGAGGAGGGGATGATGCTGTGGGAGGGAGGGAAGAGAGGGAAGGAAAGGGAATAAGAGAAAAAAGGGAGAAAGGGGGAGCTCTGAGTCTTCCCAAGCAAGGCTGTGCCCTGAGAAGGCAGATGTCCCTCCTGCAACTCAGCACTGGCCCTGCATTTCTGGATTAGTAAAATAAACCCGTTAGATGGAGAAATCATCCTCATCCCTTTTTTGTTGCTTTAAATAAGATGGAAGGAGTGTTTTCAAGATGAAAAGCTGAGCCTGGTGAAGGTTACAGCTGTTAAGCACCTGCTCTATGTGAGCACAAGGAATACTCCCATGGATTAGGCCATGAGGCTGCTCAAGAAACTGCAGGAAGGGGCTGTTATTGCTTTGTCAGCACGTTGCTGGACTGTGCCTTGAGTCCCTGCAGGACTGGGGGAAGCCTCTACATATATAGAGATATATTTACAATGAGCAAACCATGAAGGAACAGCACAATTAAAGTAGATTCTGCACTGAGACCTCCAGGGCTGGGATGTGATCTCGTACACAACCTCCCCCAGCCTGAGGTGTAGGGTGGCTGTGGCAGAGAGACATGGAGCTGTCTGACCTGGCTGTCCCTTCATCACTCTGGCAGGCACTGGGAAAGAGGCACTACCATGTGGTGCTTAATGTGCAGGGGAGTAGTAGGAAGCAATCCAAAATATTTCAGAGTGCTGAGAAAAATCTGGCTGGGAAAGGCTGATGCTGTGCAGCCTGACTGGAAGGAGGGTCAATGGCTCTCCAGTCCCACAGTGCTGGTGTTTTGGGGGTGTCTTTCTTTGTGCCAGGAGTGAGCAAAGCAAGCAGGGAGGGCCCAGAGTGCCTTTCCCAGTTCCATATCACGGGGGCTGCTTTGTTTTCCTGCTGGGCCACACACACGGCCTCCCTGTACCCAGGATCCAAGGATGCAGCGCCGGCTGCAGGGTAATTAGCAACGCCGGGGGTTCTGCCATCCCATCGGGAGCAGGCAGGCAGGTGCTGTGGGCTGGGCGGGCTGGCAGATGGCCTGAAGGACTCTCTGGGGATCCTGAGCCATTACCAATAATCCAGTGCCTCTCTTCAAACGTGTAGTGGAAGTGCTGCTGCTGGAGGAGGGAGCTGAGCCTGTGCCAAGACCGCACACCCAGCCCCAGCCACTCCTCGCAGCCTCCCCATAAAAATTAACGCGGGGTGTGTTACTGTGCTCCCGTGCATGTTAATATTTCCTGGGGCTCAGGGCACAAACAGCAGTGCTGGGGACAGGGACACGTGGCTGAGGGCCTGAACTGTCCCCCCTGCTGGAGGGAGACCTGGCCCTTGCATCCACTGCGGAACAAACCCACAATGGGGGCAGCTGTCCCCCAGCCACTCTCAGGGAACGGGGTTTGTGCTGGCCACAAGCCCTACGGATGGAATAAGGAATGTGCTTGAGATCACTGGTCCTCAGGAGTCACCTCTGCCATGCTCCAGCTCCTTTAGTGGCAACTGTGGGGACACTCTCCTGTTCCCACTGTCCTGTGACATGGAGAGGAGGATCCTTGCCTCGCTTTACCCATCCTTTTTGGAGAGTGCATGGCTCAGCCCTGGAAGCCCAGAGGCTCAGGCAAAGGCCTGCAGCAGACACTTGTCCCCTTTGGAACCCACTCCCCTCCTCTGCCACCTGTTTCCCAGCTGCACAGCACCACGGAGCCGCCGGGGCCGGGCGCTGCAGACAAAAGCCGGTTCCTCGCCCTGCCGCAGCCTCTCCCGGCGCTGACTCGCTTTAATTAGCCCCATCAAAGCCGGCTGCGCCTCTCCCTCCTGGTAGGTCGCAGAACATGATTAATTCAGGCACAGAAAACAGCCGCCCCCTGTAGAGAGGGCCTCTCGATGAGGCCAAAGCTGTTTCCTCTCCCCCATCCAGTCTTTCAACCCCAACAGCAAGGTTGAGAGCTTCTTTCTCCTGGAAGGAAGCTGTGGATAGGCACAGGCTGTCCCAGGAGCCGGAGGGGACAATCAAGGGCCATGGCCTCACCGAGCCTGGGTCTCTCTCCATCCCTCCCATGCTACTCTGGTCATGGGCATTGCCCACAGCCCACCCGTGGGTCTGCAGTTGGGACCTTCCCCAAAAAAACTCTGGGTAGTGCAGTGGGTCTGGACTCAGAACCAGCCCCTCCACAAAAGGGGATCCATGCATGAGCCCTGGGGAGATGCAGGAGTTGCTCCAATTCCTCCCAGCACCAGATTTCTCCAGCTGGTCTTCCCTGCTCCCACATGTGCAGGGCCCAGGGTGGCACACACACCATAACACAGCTTTATTAACTGCATTTGTAGGCAAAGAGGTTTTAAAAGGAAAAAGCCTTTTGGGAAAAGAGATAGATGGGGGGATCCCTTCCCCCTTTATATTTCTGCCAACGCAGCTGCGCGCAGTGTTCCAACAGC